AGATAGGAAATTTCCCCGAACTTGCGATGAAAGGCGCCGCCACCAAATGCGTACCGAGACAGGAAATTTCCCCGAACTTGCGATGAAGGGCGCCGCCGCCAAATGCGCACCGAGACAAGCAACTTTTCCGAACTCACGATGAAGGGCGCCGCCACCAAAACAACATTTCTCCGAACTCGGCACAACTCCGCCTACCAAACAATCATTGGCGCTCCCTCCCTTGCCTTCCAGCCACCAAAAACCGGCGGCTTGATCACCCGACCGGCGGCTCCCTTCCCTTTTCTTCCTCGCGCCGCCGATATCCCGTCGAGTATATAAGGAGTGCAGCTTTTTGGCGCGTCGTCATTCATTCTTGAACAACCACCTGAGCATCCCCAGAGCTCTTGGCTGATCGACTTGCGAAATAGGTACATAAGCGACCTCCGCTGGACTTGAACTTTGATAGGAGAATATCCGTGAAGGACTCGACCTCGGAGCAGCTTTGTGGACTTGATCTCGAGAACGATTAGCGATTTTAGTCTCAGAACTAATTAACGGACATAGTCCATCGAACGAGAATATCTCGGTGCGGTGCTCCAACACCAAGCGCTGATATTCCCTCTTCCCCTTTTTGCGATCGACCCCGTGTTCGAGTGTCAACCCGGGCGAGTCGGGCCGGATCACCTAAAGGAAAGAGTCGCGCCACTTGAGTCTCACGACTCGCGGGTCCTCGATCCTCCCTTGCAAGCTCCGACTTGCCGTTCGAACGAGCGGAGCACGTGCACAACGAATATCAACGAGTCTGTTATATTCTGTTGGCGTGACCTCCCCCGACGTAAGCCCTCCTCGCGAGAGTCGAGGCAACGTCGACCCACCTCTCTGAGGTCATTATTTTCATCGTCTTGTGCCATCGACACCAGGAGTACATCGACGACTTCTTCGCGTTTCAACGCGTTTATCGGGAATCGAACCCACAGCAGCAACCAAGCAGAAGATCGCCCCGTACCGACCTGCATCTCCATCGGATACGCGCTTGCGCAGAAGCCCGTGCAAGGAAAGGCAAGTTCAGTACCTAACAGACATGTCATAACACGCAACGGCGACTCCGATTCCTCCGAAAATTTAAGTTATAAATTAAAATAATGAATGCTTTGCTAAAAAAAAGGTTTTTTTTAATATTATCCTAAGATAAAATAATGTCGAATTTGCACGGGTATAAAATTTACAAACTGCATCGCCGCCGCTGCTGTGTTACTCTGCTGCTTTAGGCTGTAGTTTGCAAAGGAAAATAACTGTCTTATATACACACAACGTGTGTAACGTTTATTTATAATTAGAAAAATTTGACCGTAATAACTATCCAATACAATGTTTATTATTATTATATTTATTTTTTTTTGTTGTTATGACTTTTAGGCTTGCATAAACTTTTTGATCTACCACGAAATTTTAGCGGAGTCGGCATTTGAATGCAGTCTGTACTTCTTGTACTCAAGGACAGAGCGCTAATTTCGGGTAAATTATCACTGATTGGAACGATGTCGACTTCTATACCTTGCCGCCACATCTCTTCCAAATTTTTTATATTTTTCAATCTTCTTTCAAATATTTTATCCTTTACTAGAATGCCTGTTTCTAGCAGTTTTCCCATTTCTTCTCTCATAACTTTTCGTCTTGATGTTACACATTTACCCTTTTGAGCATTTGGCACGCCAACAAAAACGGGGTCATTAACCGGAATAGGTATGCTGTGAGTATGCTTTTTTTGGGGTTAACCATTCCAGTACCGCGTGTACACTCCATTTCCCACGTACCTGTAGTACACGGAATGATACTTCAGGCGATCGTGATCTCTGTGACCATCAGGTAACAGGCTTGTATTGGACGTCGAAAATTTTTTATTCGTTTTCACTTGAAATCGTTGAATAGCCGAAGTAAGCTCTTCGACCGAATTATAGGTGCTGTTCAGGCTAACGTCCATCTTGTTTGTCGACGTTCACTTCTCGAGTGCTGAGCGACGACTGACGCTCGTAGAGTCTGTGCCGACGTGGAAGGGGAATCACGCTACTACAGCTACTAAGACGCAACGACTTCTGTGGGACTACACAACAGTGCTGCCACAGAGTCAATAGATGATTCGCGAAAGTCTATACAGCGCTCAGCAGCAACGACGATCACGACGACGAAGATGTTGAACGAGTACTTTCGTTTCCTGAAATTTACTCGACTCTACAATTTCGGAGGAATCGGAGTCGCCGTTGCGTGTTATGACATGTCTATGGAACATTCTGGGCGCACGCGAGGTCAACAAATTTTACCGTCTTGTACGCAGTGGTATCATCGCGTACGCGCCGGATTTCGCGTACGCGAGATCTGAATGTTCCGTGGGTCAAAACAGTACCGTCGCGTACGCGATGGTTAAGCAACGTTTATAAGAATGCCCATGTCGCGTACGCGAAAATACTTTCGCGTACGCGACCGACGCTGAATAGACAGACTCTATGCGGAAAGCGGTTGATAGCTGCCTCGGTCTCATGGCGTAGGTGGTCGAACGCCTCCACTAGCTTTCTGTAAAAGAAGAGTTTAAGGGGCGATGAGAAACCGTTTTGCCTCTCTTACTAGGCTGTCTGTTGTTTGAGCGCGCTTTTCTCTTGCCGTTGGCTTGAGACGTGCCAGCGTGAGAGTATTCAGATGTAAAGGAGGGTTGTTCAAGAGGGAGAGGAACGTCAGCCGCCCCACCGGCAGTGAGCTCAGGATAATCAGGTAACAAGGCGTCGTCAATGTCGGCCGCATTTGCGTTCGTCGGGACATCAGTTGAAGTCTGTTTGTTATTTTGGGCAGGCACCGAGGCCGTCACAGCGGTGGACGAGCCAGGAATATCGATAGACACAGTGTGCGATGGTGCGCAAGTCGAGGTAGAGGGAACCGGGTGCGACGCGGCAGCATCGGCCTCAAGGGGACCTGGAGGTGGCGCGGCATCGACTACGGCTTGATGGGCCCGGGCCTTATCAAGAAAATGAGCTGGTTTTAACTGATCTACCGAGACCCTGACAATTCTGTTATCGACCTGAATCTCTATATGTTTCTTAGACGGGTCGCGCGAAATAACTCGATGCGGACCTGTGTAAGGTCTCTCCAGCGAGCGCTTGCCACACTTAATTATTTTAAAAACATGGGAACAAGCGTCCAAATCGGCATAATAAAAAGGTCTAGAAGTGTCTTTATGCTTCACTGGCTAATCATATGGCTTCAAGCTAATCATATGGCGCAAAAAGGTTTCTTTAAAAGCACGTGAGTCATAGTCGTCATCGTCGTATTCGCAAAATATGCCAGGGATGCGTAAAGCTCTCCCATATAACATTTCGGCAGGGCTCAAATCAGTATCGAGGATCGGTCTGGTTCTCAGCCCGAGCATTATCGTCGGCAACGCGTCGAGCCTGTCCCCAGTCTCACTTCTACACATGAAAGCTGCCTTGATGTCTCTGTGGAAACGCTCGATCATCCCGTTTGCCTGGGGGTGATACAGCGTGGTGTGGATCTTCTCGATTCCCAACACGCGATAGACCTCCTCAAAAAGCTTCGACTCAAACTGGCCACTTTGATCTGTAGTGAGAATCGAAAGGGCACCAAAACGTGACACCCAATGCTTAACAAAAGCCCGTGCAACAGTTTCAGCAGTGATATCCTGTAAGGGAACTGCCTCAGGCCACCACGAGAAGCGATCAATCATAGTTAATAAATAAGAAAAACCTCGGCACTTTGGGAGAGGACCGACCAAGTCAATATGTACATGCTGGAAACGTGCGTCCGGCGCCTCAAAATGCATCGGCGCCGGACGGTTATGTCGAGTTACCTTGGACTGCTGGCATGGCATGCAAGCTTTACAAAATAATGTTATGTCGCGTGACATGGAGGGCCAAATATAAAACTTTCGGATCAATTTATCCGTAATTCTAGGGCCCGGGTGTGCTAGCCCGTGGAAAATGTCAAAAACTTCAAAGTGCAGGGAACCGGGAACATACGGTCGAATGCGCTTGGTTGAAACCTCTGCAAAAATCTGCTGATTCGAGGGCTGCCAGACAACCTTGCACAGCTTGAAGGAAGGAGCCGGATCCTTAAGGAGCCTTCTGAGCTCATCATCATCTGCCTGTGCTGCTGTCAATTCATTTAAAGGGAGTTTTAGGGGTAGTGAGATAGCGCTTACCCAAGTAGAGGGATCCGCAGACTCCGAACACGTAACCGATTGCGGCTCCGCCTCGTCGAGTCGCGACAAAGTGTCAGCCACCGCGTTCTCCGGACCCGGCAGATATTCGAGTGTTATATCGAACATTGATAAAAACTCCACCTGTCTTCTACATCAAGCCAAGGCGGTATCCAAAGGCTGTGTCAAAATCGAAAGCAGGGGCTTATGATCGGTGCATACGACGAAAGCGACGCCTTGCAGTTAGTGCATAAAGTGCTTCACCGCCCCGACTATCGCCGTCAGCTCTCTATCGAAAGTAGAATAACCTCTCTGCGCGCGGTCGAACTTGCGAGAGAAAAAAGCTAAAAGCTTCCACTGGTCCGCAGCCTGTTGTTCAAGGACAGCACCCATCGCGGAGTCCGACGCGTCCGTACACACTCGTAATGGGGCCCCATCCTGCGGGAAAGCGAGGTAAGCCGCGGCCGCGAGGCTCTTCTTAAGTTGCTCGAACGACTCTATAGCTTTAGAGTTCCAATTGATAGGGGTCTTATCGCACTTTTTCTGTGAAGTTAACAGGCCGTTCAACTCTATTTGCAGCTGCGCGCTTCCCGGCATACAGTGATGGTAAAAATTAATCATGCCCAGGAAGCGGCACAACTGCTCGACAGTTTGTGGGCGCGGGAAATTATTAATTTTCTCTACCTTGGCTGGCAAGGGTTTATAACCGTTACAGTCAATTAAAAATCCGAGGAACTCGACCTGATTCGACTCGAAAACGCACTTATTCAAATTTAACTGCAAAGCGGCCTTTCTCAGTCTCTCGAAAACAATTTCGACATGCTTGCGGTGTGTCTCGACGTCCGGAGAAGCGATAAGGGTATCATCTATGTACACGTATGTAAACGGGAGGTCGCCCAACACCTAATCCGCGTATCTTTGAAAGGTCTGCGCCGCGTTCCGCATCCCGAAAGTCATTACCTTGAACTGAAAGAGTCCAAACGGAGTAGTGAGTGCTGTTTTCGAACGATCCTCCGACCTGAGCGAAATTTGCATGAAAGCCTTCTCAAGGTCCAGCGTGCTAAAAACGGTAGCGTTAAACAAAATAGTCGAAAAATCCTGCAAACGTTTCACCGGATATTTGTCGGGAACAGTTACACTATTTAATTTGCGGTAGTCACCACAGACCCTCCAGGAACCGTCTTTCTTTTCCACTAAGTGGATCGGGGACGCCCACGCGCTATTCGAGCGCTCCGCCAAATCCTGATCCCGGAAAAATTCCTGCGCCGCCTTCAGCTTCTCCAGCGAAAGCTTGCGACAGGACTCTGAAACTGGACCACCTGTGGTAACAATCATGTGGCAAACCTTAGATTCCTCAAGCGGTTTTCTGTGCTTTGCATCGTATAAAGTGGGAAAAGGCGACAAAAGATCGCGATATTTCTGGTCGGGTGATAACAATGATAAAGAAAAATTTGGGGACCGGATGCAATCGCCGGACGCGAAAACCGTGCCGTCGCGACGAAGCAACCGCCTGCCGGCCAAATCGATTAAGAGTTTATAATCGCAAATAAAATCAGCTCCAAGAATAGGGTACGGAACGTGAGTAGCTATAAAGGTATGGACGAACGTCTCGGGCTGGTTATACTGCAGCGTCAGATCATGTGAACCCTAGGTCTTCAGAGGCGATGCATCGGCTGCATAGAGCCTAAGGCTCGACTCGGTCGCAGACTCTACCAGTTCGCGAGGTATGACCGATACATCAGCACCGGAGTCAATCAGCAGGCTTAAATAACTGCATTTGTCAAAAACATAAAGTCTTTTGGATACAAGGGGTAAACTATTTACGCACGGGGAAGATGGGGCTGTAGTGGCATCAATAGAAAGGCCCGGGTCAATACACCCCACGATTGGCCCGGAAACTAGTTTTTTGGGTAAACCAGATGCTCTAACGGACAGGGGCGTACGCATTTTCTAGCTCGAATGTCGAACTTTGCGTGGTATACGCATAAAAGGCCTCGCGGCGTCGGGTCATCGAAAACTCCACGGGTAGACGCAGAAACCCCAGCGGCCGGAACACCCGGGCCGGCGACAGTCATGGCTCCATCCTGGACGAGAACGTTGTTTGAATTATTACTAAAATTGTTTACAGAGTTTTGGTTGTGATTAATATCAGTGACATTCGGGTTAATTAAGCCAACTTGGCTGTTTGCCCAAACTTGATTATGAAAATTTGATTGATTATTGAAATAATTTTGACTATTATGCCCATTCGAATAATTGTTATTGTTAAATCTATCTTGACTATTGAAAAAATTTGCGTTACTAAAATTTTGACTACTTTAATTGCTACAGAAATTTGCGTTATTTGAATTTTGACTGTTCTGATTATTTAAAAAATTTGCATAATTAAAATTTCGGCTATTCTGATTATTAAAGCTCGGACCATTAAACTTTTGCGAATGAGGAAAATTTTGATGCTGATATGCGCGATTGTGTGAATTGAAATTCCTTTTATTATGATTACGAGGAAAATTGCCTCGACCAAGGGCGCCACGACTGCCGGAGCCCGCGAAGCTATCGCCGCCGGTGGGAAACGCCGACATCTGGAAATTATCATTACAAGCGCCATCATCAAGTGATGTGCGCGACCTCCTATCATTTAGCATGACCTGAGTAAGGGTGTCAATAGACTTCTGAAGCCCCGCGAGAATCGCGCTCTCTTGCGCCGAGGAAGTAAAATACTCGATCCAGCGTCTATTTTATGAACCGACGGAAACACCTTGTCCGACCCCTGCAATCTATAATATATCTCGTCAGCGCGTTTGAAGTTGTCCCTCTCGTTTACAATCGTTACTTCCGAGTCAAGGTGAACGGCTATGTGCGGTGGTAGCGTCAAAGACCACCATTTTAAAATCGCGTTTCTATTAAACAATTTATCGCCCGATCCAACGAGAGAATCAAGGTAATCCGACGGCAGCTGATTTCACGCGTCCAGTGATCCGTCGCGAAATCTTAGGAACCTGGTCTTCTCATGCTCGACATATTTCCTCAATAAGAGCGATCGAAGTGCCTTATATTTATTGCTGCTCGGCAGGCCAGCTTGAGCGAATCACCAAGCTCCGCGATAACATCGCTGCCCAAGGAAGCGAGAGTATGAATAAATTTATCGTGATCAGAAAAAATGCCGCACGCGTTGAATTTCTGCTCGATAGTGTCCAGCCAAAGCTCTGGCTGTTTTCTCCAAAAGGCCACAAACGAAAACGATTTATTCGAGGTAAAAGATGAAGTAAGCGAAGGGAAAAAACTTGACCTGCCTGGGGGGTTAAAATTATCTGAACCGGCCTGGCTAGACGGCTGATCGCGATTCTCCAACGGGTCATCTCCTCCTGAGTTGGACGTCTTCTTCAGAACTCGCTGTCTAGTGCCATCTTGTGAGTGTGGTTCTCGCTTCCGGCGCTACGCTGTGAGTCTCCGTGAGTTTTTGATACTCCTCCTTTTTGTTGTCGTCTTGTGAGTGTGGTTCTCGCTTCAGGCGCCATCATGCGTGCTGGAGGGGCCTAGGCCCCCGCTTCCGACGCCCTCTTGTGAGTGTGGTTCTCGCTTCTGACTTCATCATGGGAGTGTTGTGCGTCATCTATTGCCAGCCTTGTGAGTCCTCGCCTCGGCCTCCTACTTATGGTTATCCTATCGCTTCCAGCTCGCACAGTGATCGGGGTTTTTTACCGCTTCGGAGGCTGATGACATAGCCCGGGTCTTCTTTTTGAGTGGTACCCGCTCCACCTCGGGCACGGACTCGACCACACCAGGCGAAAAAACGAATCTCGAAAATTCGTCTGGTGGGGATCGAACCCACGCCCTACGGCGTATCTTGTATCAGCAGGCAAGAACTAACTATACCCACTGAGCCAAGGAGGCCAATACGCAATGAGTGTTAATAAAATCGATAAGGGTTGGTGCTGCTGCGCTGCTCACAGCAGCGACAACAGGGACCGCGGTATCCATGATATGCGCCGACGCGAAATTAGCAGGGTTGACCGGCGGCGGGGCCGAGGGCGCGTCTGGGGGAGTTATGTCACAGTCTGTTCAGTAAGAGGGAAGAAGAAGAATTGTAGGTAAAAAATGATTATGAAAGAAAACCAGGTCTATTGTAATGATGAGGGAATAAAAGGGAAAGAAGGAAAAAATGATTTAAATGGATGCGGCCTGAAAACCAAGCGAAACAAAGTCGCGCGCCGACAGGACGAAGCCTTCAGCGTATGAATTTTTGCAATGAAAAAAAGAAAGAATAAATAAAATAAATGAAATGAAAACAATGATTCCTATCAATAAGTCCAAACCCAAATCTCGATCTTAAAATTAATTAACGACCTTGGTCGTACAGACGCTATTTACAATAGTTATAGCGTAACATACACTCCACCCAACATACACGCGACCGCACGGAACTGCAAGAACCGGCGTCGACTAACACTGCACGACGGTGGCTCTATATTAAAGAAAAAACGCGTACAACATATAACAACGCAACGTCGAAACGCGATTCTGATAAGGCAGCATAAAAAAAATCAAAACTATACGGTAGAGAGAAAGCTACTCAATTAATTACAAGGCTACACTGACCTGTCGGTTAACCAATTTAAGTTTAGCCACAGCTAAAGGCTGGGTGTACAATCGCAAGGCAAAAATTCGGCCCCACTCCACACGGCAAGTGTCTCTCTAAAACTCAGGCGTCGTTGATGTGCTTCTTGGTGAAAATATCAGCGCAATCAAAAATGCACGCGTGCACTACGCGCAAATCGTGCGCCGCGAAACACAAAACTAATCGTATTCAACGGACGCTCAAGCGACTGCCGGTGTCTGCGCAGCGCTAACACGTAAAGTACGTGTAAGAGGAACATCTCAAATTTGCCGTGAGACAGGGAACGAACAAGGAATGCGATGTATAAATTTGCTGCTAAATGCCAGCGATGATCGAGAGAGAGAAACAAAAAACTCTGCACAATATCCTCAGGTAACTAGATTCGTACAGCAGTCTGTTTCGGAGTAAGTTTGTAGTTCATAAGCTGGGAAACTACAAAGTTCTATAAAAAGAAAATAATTATTAATTGAATTATGTGGATATGCCTGTAAATAGGGCGAATCGGCCCGAGGCAAATAACACCGAGAACGGCGTAAAAGAGAATTACCGAGCCTCTACAGGGAGTGATATGGACCCGCAATTCTCGAGCGAAGAGTACTGCTTCGCTGCGAGGAAAAAAGTACAAAACCGTCCGTTCAAGACTCGATGTTCGGCCGCGATAGCCCTGCTGCGTAGGCGAGAGTCAGGTGTGCCTCGTCAGCGATGAGCTGTGTGGGCCCAAAAATAAAAAAGAAAAATATATGCGCCACGCGCGTAAAAATTACTAGGGCTAAATTAATTGAATACGCCGCGAGCGTGAAAGCTGTTCGGGCCGAATTACTTGTATGTGCCGCGAGCGTGAAAGCTACTTGGGTGAGTTTTATCTGCTTGAGAAAAATCTGTTTAATTTATGCAATATACTTATATATACTGATATCGTCTTTGTCGAATATAATTACAGATAACAAAAACACGTATGTCGATAAGATGTGCCACAAAGGGCAAAATTCAAAACAAAAATGGCAGGTTAGGCCAATAACATTGAATATGAGAATGATGGTGCGTTCATAGTAGCAGTAATTTGAGCTAAGGCAAATATTCAAACGTATTGCTCTGTTAAGAATGTTGAATTATTTGATGTTGAACAGGTTCGTGATTTTGCCGTTTGCTAAGAATGCCGAAAAAAGTTTTGCAACTCGTATGTAAAGCAAAACGAAATTCAGAAAAGTGACTTCGCAGTCAAGTCCTATGATAACCCTTTTTTTCACTCCACTCTAGTGGCAAATTTATTCGATATTCATTAGACCCGCGGGAGTAGTCAGTTATTTTGTTTCACTACTTTTTTCCGTCTTCTGCCATAACCATAATAAATAATAAAAGAAAAAAATGTCTATGCTAAGTGAGCAGAAAATGATGGAGTTGAGCAATCTGGTGAGACAGTATTCAGAAATCTGGGATGTAAAATCTCCAAATTATGCGAATCGACAGCTGAAAAACAATATGGCTGAAAATCAGTGAAAAACTGAACGAAGATGGTGAGTGATATTTTTGCTACTTATTTTTTACAATCGTAATGAAAAAGTTCATCATCTTCAAAAAAATCTTGACAGTAGTATATTTCTTAGCAATTTTAAAAATACATGATGAAATTATAATTTTGCTCTTTTATTTCTTTACACTCTCTTGACTTAAGAAAAAAAATTGATAGGTTATTCAGAAGCTTGTTATCATTTTTGAT